TCAAGATAAACGTATGATAGAAGGGGTTTCTCCCTTTCACTAGTCTAGCCACAAGAAAAATTAAAGAAGGTATGAACCAAAGTTCAATCTTGAAAACTGAATCTCAATCACTGTATAATATATTTGTGTATGCTTCCAACTCTAAGTGCAAATGGCTGAGCGACCGTGGCTACTAGCTTACAAAAGACAAAACACAGGAAGACAAAACTAGACATTTGAAGGGTGGCAGTGGGGTTTTTAAAGGGACAAGCTGAGCTTAATATGTACATTGTGCTGTAAAGGCATAGTTTGAATCCATGCCTATGGACATGACGTTACTTTAGCTCCCTCTTCTGTTCATTACCATGTTCCTGTGTATTCCCATTGCCGTTGGAAGTAGAAGCCAGATGTATGACATGCAGCAGCTGTCCTGCTATGGAACACAGACAACATGACGAATGTTGAAAGTGAGAAATTTTACCACTGAAACATTCAAGATGACCTCGAATGTTAGCATGTCCAACTCTAATTTTCAAGTTTGTCCACTTTCCCTCTGTCCATTTGAATTGGCTACGAGGACAGGGCAGTGTTTCTGGATCATGCTCACGGTCTTCTTCTGGGCCTGGGTTAAGGTTAAAGATCAAACCTTAATCTGTGGATCGTGTTCTGAAACTTTGGTCGCAAGTGCTCCTGCCTGCTATTTACAGTTTCAGTTGAGACCCTGAAAAGCTTAGGCATTGAACAGTCATCTGTCCTTCGCACATATATCTTGTGTATTCTTTTTGTGATTTAGTGCACTGTAAATGATGGAATCCGTAATCTGTAATCTGTAAAACATCATTCTGAAAATTCCTCCACAATTGTTGGATGCCTACTTTTTGCAGTTTGCTGAACCAAAACAGCACATTTACTCTTTATGTACTTATTTGCATAAGTGGCTTTTTGTAAATTGACCTAATTAGTTGCCATATGTGCCCCCAGCTGTTTCTTTTTAGTACAACTAACTGTTCCAGTGTATCGACAACACACTCCCTTTCAATGTTTCTTATTGTGTATGGTTTTGTTTGTATCAAATGTTGGTTTATGAGATTTTGAAATATCACTGCAGGTAGTTTCGATTTACCATTTAAATTGCATCAATTTCTTTTTCTTTTATGGGATAGGTTTTGTAGACAATTCCATATTATCCATTTCCCTTGCTCAGCAAAATAATAATATCTATTGAGATAAGCCTTGTAATCAAAACATCGAATGCCCATTTGGACTATTTGTATGCAGATACAAATCATAATATCATATCATATCAACCTCTGCACCACCATATATGACCACAGCCAGACGCAATAGCTGCCCTTATAAAAGATAGCCCATAAATCCCACCGCTTGACTTAACACAAGGCCTTTTCTTTTCATATTTGTGATTTTTGTGCATTGGTAATAAACCCCACCACAACAGAATGAAAGACAGTAAAACTGTGGTAACAAAGTATCAGTTGGTAGCTAATTGTAATTTTAATTGCCACCAGGAGCAGCTACGCAACCCATTCACTTTTGTTTTGTTGAGGCAGAAAATTGCTTTCAGCCGTTATTTTCCCCTACAGTTGCCACAAATGTGTAAATGTGTTTGCTAGGCTGCTCATTTCCTCATCAAAGTCGCATATGTCCTCATCTGAAGTGCTGATCCTTTCTTGCATTTAATGCGTTTCTTGTTTTGAAAAAGTAGACGAGAAGGTTCGAAAAGCAGATGTTCACATGCGTTGAATGTGTCTGCAAACCTTTAATCTTACATCTGAGGTGGAGATAACTGAGAAAGACCGATTTCAGAGGCAAGCGCACCACAAACAGAGTAAACTGGCGTATGCGTTTAAAAACACGTGTTTTCTTATTTGGCCTTGAACCGTGCTGTAATCTGTAGATTTAATCTCTGCTGTCCTCCTTATTCCTCATCTCTCTTTCTCTCTATATCTTCTCCTCCTCCTATCTGCCGTTTTCCTCCTTCTCCTTTCACCTCTGTTGCTGTCCTCCAGCTGGCTAGGTGAGATAAGTCCTCAGTGCCGAGATACTCTCAGCTTATTGGCCGGATGATGGAACATAGGCCACCAATCAAAGGCTGCATCATTAGTCGTGGAGATCATGAGCTTGACTGGGCTTCTTATCTGGTTTTACTGATCCTGCACTTTTCTCACCCATTTTACACATCCAACAACTCCTCTGGAAAATCACTCAGGTCAGGGTAGTCAGCCACCAACATCCATTTTCCCTCCCATTTGGAGACATATTCTCTCTTCGAATGTGAATGAATCAGATCTGTGTGAGAAGCAGCTCCGAAAAAAAAGATTATTCTGAGGCTTTTTTATGTGCACACCAGGGTTTCTTCACTCTGTTTATAGCTGATAAAAGTGCTCGGTGGGAATTCATTTATCTGAATGTGGTTCAGAGTAACTTTATTACTATTCAACAACAATATCACCCGTTCTTATTTTCTCCCCAGGGAAGAAAGTTGCCCACTCATTTTTTGTCAAAGTTAAACATTGCCTTCCATTGGCTTGCATTATGATATATTTCCGGTTTAGACTGGCATCAGCGTTCTTTTTTTCCATTAGAATGCAGGGGGAACAGTCACATTGTCACAGAAGAGTAACTCAGAGAAAACAGAAGAGCAGTGCTTCGGTCATAATGTCCCAGAAAGTCATTTGGGCATCTTTACCAGTGTGGCATCTTTCCATCGACTTTAATGAAAAATCATCTTGGCTGCATGATCTTTCACAATCACTCCCCTGAAGAAAGTTAAATCATTTCTCATAAATGTTTGCTGTTGTTTTGTTTTTGGTTTTTAAGTAGCTCCAACACCAGCCACCAAATATACAGTACAATATCAATAAAAAACTTAATACACAGTAATATCCTCTTTTTTTTTCTTCCCTTAAACAGAAACAGGGTGCAGGGGTAAACTGCTGTAAAAAGATATCCCTCTCTTTGTGTTGTTTTCTTTGTGAAAGACTGACTGAAACCTCACATTTACGTGAGCACAGACTCATTAGAGAGGGTGACACTGACAATTGTTTTGCTAAATGCCAAGTTATTTGTGTGAGACCTTTTTATCTAAAATAAAAGTGTCTCCCGAGTAGATACAGGCAGCAAAGAAGGATAAACCAGTGCTTTTTAGTATTTAAACTGTCATTACCGAATAAACAATCATTTGCTTCTTGGTGTCAGCCTGAAAGCACTCAGACAGCCCGCTTGAAACCCTAATTGCTATTGAGAAACACGTATAGACTGCAGAAGGATACAGGAGGGATGAGTGCACTCTGGTGGTCCTTCGTAGACCGATTGCCTCTATGCGGCTTGAATTGTGAACAGTCCTGTGCTGCCATCTTGTGTTTGGTCCACAGATAGACGGGAGTTTTCACCGGCAGGGCCCTATGAGCGGCACCTCGCAGTGTGTCCACCTTATCCGCCGTTCACCTCCACACAGCCGAACAGGATGAGAAACGGCTCGAAACAAACTGAGGTTTGCTATTCTATCGCCTCCCACTAACACGGAGCGGGCTGTCAGATTTAATCCGACGGACTGGTGTGCCCCTGAGTCTGACCTTTTGTCTGTGAGCGTCTGGTCCGCCGGCTTCAAACACGATGCCATTTCCAGCAGAAAGGTTAATAAGAGGGTCTGGGCAAATTAGAGAAGGTCAAAGATCTGTTCATTTGGCGCAACGAGACAAAGACACAAACAACTGAGCGGAAGCACGTTCCCGGTGGGCTTAATCAGGGTGGGATATGAAGAGCGTGGGAAATATAGCGAGTGCAAAATGGCGGGCAGACAAACAGGTGAGGCATGGTTTGAGGCGCTAAGCGAGCCCTGTGAAACCAGGCTGCTGGCTGTCGCTCGTTTGTTTGTGTGGGTCCTAAGAGCTCAGACGCTCCGAAACGACGCAGCTCGGACATTCCGCCAGCTGGTGGTGCTGCAACGTCGTTCCTGAGCACCATGTGTGGTTTGTGGAGCCGATTCGAATAAAAAAAGAAAAAAAAGTTGTCCGGTGATGTGGTGTGATGTCATACATTAACACGGCGTTTACCAGAAGCCCTCAGCTACCTTCAGCTCATGTTTCTCATTAATTTAGAATAAGATAATTATATTATTTTGTCTTAAAATAATAATCTTGCACACCATTTCAAAACAAGACAACAAAAAAGACAAAACTTCACAGATTGTAACACTTTAACAAAATAAGAGTTGCAAAAATATTGGCAACCTTAGAGAACCATATTTAATACTTAAAATGGTAAAAAATCCAAACAGAAGGAAATGTAAACAGGATAGGGTAATAGATAGGGGGGTGGGTGTTTCATATTCACTGTCTGATCGCATCTCAGTAGCTGAGGTCATGTTGAGTCATGCTGTTCTGAGATGAGCGGGCTTTTCTGAGAAAGACTTCCTCAGCAGCTGTCATCCGCAGGCTGCAACTGTAGCTCTGAGAGGACTAAAGGGTAAAGAGCAGCTGGTTTCATGATGTCAGCTGAGGACTCCGAGCTCCTAACATCACTGCTTTATTAGAGCATGAGGTGATCGGGGGGGTGGGGTAAATAAGGGATGTGACCAGTCCACTACAGTAACTGCTTATGTCACAATTTTAAGTTCATACTCTCCATCAGAGAAAGCTTTACTTTTTCTCCCAACCTGAATAGCAGCATGTATTATATGCTTAGTTTACATATGCTGGTGTTTTGTACGACTATTTTGTAATGTTTATTGCTCTCTTTTGCAGTTTAAAAATGCAGTCGAAATCATCTAAACGCACTCGAAATCATCCAGAGACATCAGTGATTTAACTGGAGGTCACCAACATGCTCCTGGCAGACTTATGGATTTGGGATTTCAATTTGCAAAGAAATAAAATGGATAAAAAGGCGAGGTCAATTTCAAACTTCTGAGCTTTTAATGAAAATCCAAATCATGTACAGGAAAGCTACCATCTGCAGTTAAATGTTATCAGTAATAGGATGTTATCATGGAACTTTCAGCGATGGTGAAAGGATCTATTCATAAGCCCAGAGGTAAACATTGTCCCCTCCATGTGTTCAGGATTATTATTATTTTCTATAAATAGTATACTGCATTATTTCTGCTTCCTTCTTTATAACTATACAAAGTGTATGTGTTAGCGGATCCATTTCCATTATAGGAGGCCTGAGATGTATGAAAACAAATTTCCGGTACTCAGACAAACTTTACCAAAGGGTTCTGAAGGAATTCCTGCGTTTTGCTGTGTCATATGTTTGTGTGTTTTTTCTGATTTTGTGTGACTACATGTGGAGAGATGCTTTGAAACCCAGGGCTTGTAACCTGCGGCTTATAGCACAAATGCAGCTCTCCTGCTAGCTTAGCCTTAAAAATAAAGATTACAGAAATTGAGAAAGAAATCATTAATTTCAAGCTACTAAAATCTTCAGTTTAAAAAAATGGAATGAACCATTTTGATTGCCTGCATTAAAAACTCATTGTGTCGTTACTTTAAATTTGGTTTGCAGTCGGTTGTGTTTTTTGAGTGGACCCAACACTCTTTGCAGAGTCAGTAAATACAGTATTGGATAATATACAAAACACACAACATAAAATGTTGGTAATCAATCATAGTCATCCTCTCATTGTCCGCAGTGAGCAGCTGTCCCGAGTCAGTGTTTGCTTTTAATCCCGTCTTTGCCATCAGCAACATTAATATTGATGACAGAGGGAGGCTGACTGAGCTTTCACTCACTTTCTCTCCCCCTCCCTCCCTCTTATACCCGCACCCTGGAGGCGCACACAGCACCGGCAGACTGTCTCAGCTTCCGTGTGGCTCTCTCGTCTCCGGCTCCACATCTCTTATCCTTGCCTCCTTTCTCCACCAGTGGATTTCTCACCGCTGCCTTGTGCAACATCGGTAAGGAAATACTCATGGCTGTCATTTTTCTATGCTTGTGTGTCTCTTTGTGCCTGTTTTTTCTTGGACTCAGACAAAGGACTGGGGTGTGGCTGGATGGTCAGAGGGTGGCTGCGGTGAAATTATATTTTCTAACAAATCGAAGAATAAAACAGGATGTTGGGATTATTATGGCTGTGCTGATAAGGGTGCAGAGTTTGGATGTTTGAGCTGAATTATTAATTGAACAGAGAGATTAATGCTTGGCAGATAGAGGCACTGTGTCAGGGCAAACATGTTCAGACTGCTGCTTTGGGCACCTGAAAATGCTTGCTGTGTGCCCAGCAAAATCTAAAATCCATATTAAAACGGATTTCATTTCCAGTCAGAATCATTTCCCGGTAGCTGGGTTTGCTAATGACCTGCCGCAGCCTCGTGGGCTCGGACGGAGCGGGGCGCATCAGGCATGACTGGGCTACACCGTGAAGTGATTAGTCAGAGCTGAGCCGGGGTCTGACTGCAGAGCAGGTGGGGAGCGATGCCTCCGTCCACCAGGCTGCAGGGGTGTATGCGGAGGGAGAGAGACACAGACACACACACAGACGGAGGGAGAACGCAGAGGCACAGAACAAAGACCTGAGCCTCGCAGAGGGAAAGGCAGAGACAAAGGAGTAAATATCAGACACATGCTAGCTACACAGACATGTGAGAGGCAGGAATCTAGACGGAGCATGTGTGGGAGGCAACAGCCACTCACAGGCAGCCATGAGAGACGGAGTCTGCAGGGCACTCCCTTCTGCTCCAATCACTCCTCAGGATGAAGCATGTTGCACATCAGACAAAGACTAATTGGCTTGTCCAATTAGGAGGCGAATACTGAATTTGAATCTGCATGTGTAACGTTATGTTGTGCTGCATAATCAACCTGATGCTTGGCAGGAAAGGTCAAAGCCATGTGCTCAAATTTATATTTGTCCCATCGTTTACAGCCAAAATGTCTGACAAGCCCGACATGACTGAGATCGCCCGTTTCGACAAGACCAAGCTCAAGAAGACCGAGACAAAAGAGAAAAACCCTCTGCCTACCAAAGAGAGTGAGTGTCCCCTGAGTGTCCCCTGAGCCTTCCTTTCTGCGTGGTTTGATGAGCGGCTCCTTCATCCCTTGCAGCAATTTTCCTGTCAGTGCCAACTCATCATCACTCTCAAACAGGCTCAGCTAGCTGAGCGGCAAAAAAAAAAAAAGGAAAAGGGAAAAGAGGAAAAAAGCAATGGCTCAGCATATCAACACACAGAACCCTTCTCCCATTATCACTGCAACACGTGCATACCAAAACGTCTCTTTCTCTCTCTTCTTTTCCAGCCATTGAGCAGGAGAGGAAAGGCGATGCCACACCTTGACCGAGCACACGAAGACAAGGAGCTGAGATGCCACAGCAAAAAGCACTTTCCTTTGATTATAACAGTATTCGAATCTCTTCCATCGTCTTCAGAAAAAGGGGGGCTCTCTTGGGCTCTCCGGGGTGCTATATGGGTATTTGGCATCCTCACATGGGGCCTCTCTTGCCAGTCTGAAAACTTCAGCCTGGGTGCCTGCCTTGCACTGTTAGTCGGTTGCTAACATGTTTCCAATATTGCCAAACTGGGGAGCGGAGTAGTGGTGTAGCACAGAGGGGGGGGGGGGGGCAGGCATCCAGGCGAGGGGAGGGTGGGGTCTGTCGTCAGACATGGGCACAATCAAAGTCAACACATGTGGGATGTTTTCTTAACAAGCTTTTTACTTTTCTTTATGTAATAAATATGAAGACATGGCAAAAGTCCTCTTGTCCGTTCACTCCCATTTGCACTCTATGAATCTGGGAAATGAATCCATTTAAAGATCCACATATACAACGCATTTATGAGACCTGGACAGTTGCAATAAATGCACAACAAGATTGAAACAGACAGTTTGCCTCACCTTCCTGTGTGGGTTTACTGTAACCCAAAATGGTTCCCATCGTGTTTATTTCACATTTAGAACATGTGGCTGATTTTGAAAATGGAAAACAAACGCCCCAACATATTTACCACAACACTTCTGATCAACCATTGCAAAGAAACGTATAGACCATTGCATTATTTCATGCATTATAAACCTGCAAATGAAAAGTGCTGAGTCGGCTATCAATAAATAGGCAACCACTTTTTACTCAAATCTAAACAAAAAGAGTTTTAAGACCTCATATCATAATACTGACACATACTTTTTTCAAATTTTGAACGAGACAGTCACGTCTTTGCCTATCAACCCTGTTTGTGTTTGAGAAATGGGGGGAGACAAGATTTCAATAGCTTTAAAAGTGAAAGGGTTATCAACTCTGCTGTTTTTTTTAAGTCGTTAAACTGCCTGCGTTGACTTATTCTTATTTAAAAAAATCAAAAATGACTTTAAGTAAGGAGCAGATCTAGACAGCAGGCGGGGCAGATGGTCACTAGCCCTTTTCTGCTGCAGTCTATCAGCAGCAGCTGGATTAGGTAAGAGGAGGTCAGCAAAAAATGGCCTTAAAGTACTTCACAATGACACCTTACACTACTCTGCATGTAATACAGCATTAGCAGTGCCCTCACAGGGGAGCAGGTTACCAATGCCATGGGTCAAATGAACCCCTGATAGCATCAGGAGCAAAAGCGTTAAGCTGTTTACTGACAACCAGCCAATCGGTCCATCTGATTTTGAGCTCGGAGGATACATTTTAAATGGTCAGACCAAAGGTCCTGTCCTCAAAGCATCTTAAACAAACTCAGAGCCCAGTGAGATGAAACCTGGATCTTCTTCATACCTACATTTTGTCCAGTAGAGTTTTAAATAAGATTAGTTAATATTGTGGCCAATTATGCTCAATGATTGTGGTTTGAGGAAGTTTCTCATGTGCTCATGTAGTTATTTTTAATATTCTATCAGTATCCAGTCTGCTGCTCCCTGATGGCTGAACAACAACCGCATATTCAGTTCTATTTGTTACTTGTGATGCAGAGCCCTTTCTGCACATCATCTCTTTGCAGTAATGATAAATTATTAATCGTGGATGGCTGACCTATTTGCTCTCACCATTTATGTGAGCATGATGAACCATTCCCCATCATTACATGATAAGGACAGAAAGTATTCTTTATAAAGTTCTGAAATGCTGAGAAAGCGAAAACATTTCCAGGCTTTATCGCCTTTCTTTTTTACACTACTACACACAGATTTTAAACTTTAAATAAAATGTCAGTTTCAACCCACAAAATATATATCCTAGTTAGGGTACTTTGTTTAATTAATTTCTTCCAAAGTAAAGAGGCCAGGCTCAAAACTCTCAAAATTTTAAATGTTTTTCTTAAATCTGAAATACAGCTTCAAGATAGAGGTGGGGCTAAATATTAATTCTTTAGGCTGTTTTTCTTTTCATTTTTCACAATGTATCCACCAATAACAGAAAATTTAGAGAAATAATTTATATCTGGGTAAATCTATCCCAGAAAGTGTACTCAGTGAAGTAGGCCATGGAAGTTTTTGTTATTTTCTTTTCTATTCTTGTGTGGATTTATCAGCAACATTACTTAGATTAATCAGGTTTCCTTTTCTCTTTTTAAAGCCTTTTTTTTAAACTTGTTTATGACAAACTATTATCGACTGATTACCACCGCTAATGATTTTATAATAACCTGATTTGCCACCCTAAATTGAGGCAGTTCTGGTGTGGCCGACTGGCGTCTCCACTCCTGCCACCCTGGCTCGGCCTGTCAAAGCTGCCACCTCCTGAGTCTTTAGTGCTCCATTTCTCTCACCTCAGGCTGCTGGCCGTAAATCAACATTCCCTGGACGGTCTAATGGGCTTCAAATGGGCTTGAGCTTTCAGCATTAACTTGTTTTTGTTTAGAAATGTACCAAACGTTTGTCTTACTTGACCACAGTGACCGATGTCATTAATTCTGATTATATTAATATGTATCTAATTACTCACGAATTACTTACCTGATGATAACATAAGTACCACCTGACGACACTGAAAAGTTTCGATGTCTATGAGCCGTGCGCACTCAGGCCTCAGACGCACGCCCAGTCAGAAAACTATTGTCTGCCGTTATTAGCCTATTAAAAACTGCTTAACGTAATAAAAAAAAGCCCTCACTAGAGCCCACATTACGATGTAATTACTACTTATGCTCAGCCTCGAGCTCAGAGGCTCTGGGTTTCAGTCCTTCTCCAAAATGAATGTGAGAGATATCTTATTAGTAAAGATTATCCTCACCCATTGAGTGGGGGGCCTCGCCCAGCCGTCCAGCTATTGTCCTGCACGTTGAGTGAATTGTTGTTTTAAAGGATTTTGAGTGGCTTAGAGGGGATTTGACAAGTGTAAACGATTTAATTTGGGGGGAGGATCGTGTTAATCATTAGCTTGGTAACTTTTTCTCACATTAAAACGCCGCTAAAGTATGAAATGGCAGAAACCGGCTGATGACAGCTGATGGCAGAGATTGTTCAGGGTAGTAAAATAAAGCTTTAACGGGTACATGCATCTGTGGTTCTATTTCTAAAAAAAAAAAAAAACTCACAAGCCGTGTCTGTTTTTTCTTTGGTCCGAAGTCCCAAACGAATCGGTTTATCGCTTAAAATAAAACCTCTGGCGTGTTTATGCTCTTGTAAATTCCAGACTATTTTCACACCAAGTTGTTTCCCAGGAAAACATCTATTATCCTATTATCATGGCGATGCCAATTTCGCCGATGTGTGAGGCAGTATTTACATGACTATATAGGGTCGCCCATGAAACGCTTTAATGCTTTGTAGTCGCTGTGTGACCCCATGGGACACCGGTGCCATTTCCCAAAAGTTTCAACAGCGAAAGAAGCATCGCGGAGAAATAAACCACAGCACCTTTAGGAAAATATGACTCAGTCTAATACTTATGCGATCTTTAATGTTTCGGGCAAGAATGACTTGAGTCTGGGATGGATGTAGAATGATCAGTGCGCAGAATCCTGCACTCCTGTTGAGGTCTGAACTTATTGTATATTTTTCTTGAATATAAATCATGTTATATAAATAATGTGCGCAATCGTGTTTTCATTTAACGTTCCTATGGGCTGTTGCATATAACGCGCTCGTTTAATTCCCCCCAAAAGCTTACATTCGTGGGAAAAGCATATATGGATTAGAGCCTGGGAACGACAGGTGAATGAATGAGGGGCTGTTTAGCCGTCTGCGTCACTTCTTTGAAGTGCACTTATGCACCGACGGCCCCCAAGTGTCTATAGGACGCAGCAATTAATGTTGTGCTTGACGCATTTTCACAGTGAAACGTTACCTGCGGGACAAAACTGTCAATCACAGGGGAGAGCATATAAATATAATCCGAGTGGAGCAAGGCAACATCATCAGTTGCTCTCCTGTCTCCCTGTCTGAGCACACATCTGGAATACAACAAGTGAACTACATTTTGGAGCACAGTCATGCGACCTCTGAATCTTCTCACGGCCATGGCCATGCTCTGTCATTTCCAGCCGGCATCCTCTTGGTATGTCTATGTTTTGGTGGAAATACTATTGAAATAATGCCGTATTTATTCTTTTTATATGACGATTTTAACATGGACATCTTATTTTTTCTTTGAACAGGACGGTGAACAATTTCCTCATGACTGGACCAAAGGTAAATAACTGTCTAAATATCTCAAATATTTCGTGCGTAAAAACCGTTTTTTTTCGGTTTTGCTTTATTACTTAGAATAGACATAAATAATATGTCCAAATGACATGAATGCTTGCTTTCTTTCTCCCAAGGCGTTTTTGACTTATGCCAGCAGTGTGCAAGTGGGTGCGCAGAGTGGAATTAAAGAGTGCAAACATCAATTCGCCTGGGATAAATGGAACTGTCCAGAGAGCACGCTTCAGCTCTCCACACACAAAGGCCTTCGGAGTGGTAAGAATTACAAGAAAATCTGCCAAATGTGAATGAAAAGGCATCTCAAGATGCAGTAGACTGGGGGAGTGTTGCGTTCACGTGTCAGCTCGTCTGGAACGCACACTGGAAAACTCTTTTACGCAGCTCATTACGCAGTTGTGATGTGAATTTGAAAGGTAAATCACACGTCGATGTTTGCTTTCTCTGTCACAACTTGTAGCCACCAGAGAGACGTCTTTTGTACACGCAATCAGCGCTGCTGGGGTGATGTACACTCTCACCAAGAACTGCAGCATGGGGGACTTCGACAACTGCGGCTGCGATGACTCCCGGATCGGACAGAGTGGTACGCTTGAGTTTTTCTATCTGCATCTGAACTACCTGGCATGGATAGATGTATTGTAATTTGAAATAAGAGTTCCTTTTTCCATCTCAGGTGGAAGAGGGTGGGTTTGGGGAGGCTGCAGTGACAATGTGGCGTTTGGGGAAAAGATCTCCAAACAGTTTGTGGACTCCTTAGAGGATGGGCACGACTCTCGCGCGGCAGTGAACTTACACAACAACCAGGCAGGAAGACTGGTAAGATCCGAAGCAGTGGCATTATTTCTATTTCTAACGGATGATTTCGTGTGCCAAATAATTTGGTCAGCGACATTAAGATGTTTCATCCAACCACTTTGCCACTCTCCTCCAGGCAGTGAAGGCAACAATGAGGAAAGCCTGCAAGTGCCACGGAGTTTCTGGAAGCTGCAGCATCCAAACTTGTTGGATGCAGCTGGCCGACTTCAGGGAGGTGGGGAACTACCTGAAGATGAAATACGCACACGCCAAGAAGCTGGAGATGGACAAGAGGCCGGTGAGAGCGGGCAACAGCGCGGACAACCGGGGGGCCATCGCGCACACGTTCCGGAGCATCGCCAGAACGGAGCTCATCTACCTGGAGGACTCTCCCAATTACTGCGTCAAGAACCAGAGTCTGGGGGTGCAGGGCACGGAGGGCCGGGAGTGCCTGAAGAGCGAGAAGAACATGTCCCAGTGGGAGAGGAAGAGCTGCCGCAGGCTGTGCTACGAATGCGGCCGCAGGGTGGTGGAGAGGCGCGCCGAGGTGGTCAGCAGCTGCAACTGCAAGTTCCACTGGTGCTGCACGGTCAAGTGCGAGAAATGCACACAGGTGGTCACTAAATACTACTGCACGCGGAGGGAAGGTGGGAGGAAACAGCATAAGCTTAATAAAACGAAGCGCAGACACTCTGCACGCAGACACTGAATGCATCAATGAAGTGACTTTCCAAATATATAAAGAGACATTCCGGATTACACTAGAACATTGAAGAAAAGGGTTCAATCCAGTCCCTGAAGCCTCTTATTGCACTTTTGTCTTATTTACTGGATTATTGGTATTAATCAAGTTCTGTTCCCAAAGACTTTCCTCTCCAGCTCAGGCACAGTTTGAGTTGAAGGGACGCTTGGTCAGTTTATTGCAGACTGGACCTCTCTGGAATGTGAAATGTCTTTAATAGATTAAGTTTATTTTTTATTGAAACTGTTGCATAATAAATATTTTTCTACCATATCAACGAGTCGTGCAGTTTTGTCAACGGGCCACATTCTGACTCCATTATTTGGGTGCCCTGCTGTCACACAGCCTTGGGAAAGAAACCAGATCCTTTGAAGTGCGCATATAGGCGTTTCCTGAACCGGCGGCCAATCAGCTCTGCTTTGGCCCCTCAAACAAAGAACAAGAGTTCCATTTGTTCCTCAATTCAAATAAAAGGGAAAGTTTCAGCTCACCGGGCGAAAATACCTACATCTCCACGACGCAGAGGAAAATGGCGCATTCCTTATTTTGGCTCCTGTTCTTGCTATTCAAAATGCAACCGGTTCATGCATGGTAAGATGTCAATATGTAGGCTACACATTGTAGTAATTTAATTAGAAGATGTAAACAATATCGAATAATATGTTTTCCTTCTTTAGGATGGCCAGTAACTTTCTTATGACGGGACCAAAGGTAAATAATAGCGCTGGTTTTATCATAATAAGATGTCAGGGATGAGGCATGAGTAAGATTAGAGAATTCATTTACTTTGTCCTCCAGGCCTATCTCACCTACGCAAGGAGTGTGCAGGTGGGCACGCAGAGTGGGATTGAAGAGTGTAAACACCAGTTTGCGTGGGACAGATGGAACTGTCCGGATGGCGCAACCCAGCTCAAAGGACTCAGACTGGGTAGGGCATCCTATCTGCTTCCATCATTATGCGGGCAGGTGTCAGATCGACGATTTTTACAAAAAAAAAACTTCCTATAACGGGTCGGAACTTTTCCACTTCCTCTGCGCGTGTGGATAAGTATTCCCTCTTCTTTGCAGCCACCAGGGAGACTTCTTTCGTGCACGCCATCAGTGCTGCAGGAGTGATGTACACCCTGACTAGAAACTGTAGTATGGGGGACCTGGAAAACTGTGGCTGCGATGTCTCAAATAATGGGAAAATTGGTAAGTCTCATATTTCATATCTTTTTTTGTGGCCGTTTGGGAAGATGACATGTAACTTAATCTTGATCCATAAGCATTGAAAACTCTGATAGGCTATTCCTACTGTAGGATGAGTGACAGATGTAATGTTTTGGGTGCAGGCGGTCGAGGCTGGCTATGGGGGGGCTGCAGCGATAACGTGGACTTCGGAGAGAGGATTTCCAAATTGTTCGTGGACGCGCAGGAGACAGGCCAGGACTCCAGAGCCGCTGTCAACCTGCACAATAACGCGGCCGGACGACTGGCAAGTGATTCTCGCATTACGCGTACTAACAGGTAAAACTGTGAGCACCCTACTCATCTCCGGTTTCCAACAGGCCGTGAAGGCAACGATGAAGCGCATCTGCAGATGCCACGGGATGTCCGAGAGCTGCAGCGTCCGGACCTGCTGGACGCAGCTGTCCGATTTCAGAGAAATCGGCAATTACTTGAAGCTCAAGCACGGCCAGGCGCAAAAGTTTGCCACGGACAACAAGCGCGAGAGGGCCGGGAACAGCGCGGACAGCCGCGGGGCCATGGCGGACGCGTTCGGGGGGGTCGCCCAGACGGAGCTCGTCTACCTGGAGGAGTCCCCGGACTACTGCAGGAGGAACGCCAGCGCGGGGCTGCAGGGCACGGAGGGCCGGGAGTGCGTGCAGCACGGGGACGCGCTGAGCCCGTGGGAGAGACGCAGCTGCCGCCGGCTGTGCACCGACTGCGGCCTGCGGGTGGAGGAGAGGCGCACGGAGGTGGTGAGCAGCTGCAACTGCAAGTTCCACTGGTGCTGCAAGGTGAACTGCGAGGACTGCTCCCAGGTCCTGGTCAAGCACGTGTGCGCCAGGAGGGACGCCGGAGACGGCTTCAGCCTGAAACGGAGGCACCGTGGACCCAAATGACGATAAACGAGGTTTTACGCGTCTGCGATCTGTTTACATACTTGCACTTTTCATCCGTTGTTGTTTCATTATCTAAACTTTTGAATGTATATTTATGAATGATCTTGGCTTTGTTTAATAAAGAGAAATAAAACTGCCCAAAAAAATCACTGAAGCTGTCAGGTCGTATTTCAATCAACATTAGGCCATTCTGCCTCATGATTTCCTCAGCCATGATTTCCTCAGCCAATTTATTTCTGACAGAATTAACAAACTTTGAATAAGAATGAGCTCAATACACTTCACAGAAGGATTACATGACCAACATGGCTCAGCTCAAAGCTAACTGAGGTGTTGATCCACTGTCACTTTGATGTCCCTGTGTATTGACTTCATTCAGAGGCCAGGGAGGCTTTGAAAGTCAAATTAAGGAAGGATTTTCACCCCTAGAAAGAGATATTTGTCTTTATAATGCTGCACGACACCAGTGATTCCAGTATGTGTTACATCCCACAGGTAATGCAAATGTAATGCAATACACTCAGCAAACCCGGGTTCAGTTGTACTGGATTTGGGATGAGACAGCTTTTTTTTTTATCAACCCCTCGCTCAATGAAAGCACGTTCATTTCTGATCTTATTTATTTGAAAGTAATTAGCTTTAAGAGGATTCTTATCTCACTCCACTGGCCTGAAGGAGCCTCTCCTCTACCCCCTGCATCTCCAAGAGTCTTCGTCTCAGCTGGATGTGTCATAAATCTGCCAGGGTCTCAACTAAATGAGAGATGGCAGGGATATTAGCTTCTTATGGGGCCTGTGCCTGGAGGGGTTTTCTGGGGGGGGGGGGTTGAAAGAGATTGGGGTTTGTAACAGGGATGTTTTAGTCTTGCTGGAGACCAGTTTCTGTCAGTGTAATAAATTCCGCTGATAATAAGCTGAATGTCTAAAGCGAAAAAAAAAAGAAAAAAAAGCAATGTAACAACAAACAGAAATTAACAAAATGAACAGAATTAGTTGTAAAACGAGGAATAAGATGCAACAGATAGGCCGCAATACAGGTGAAATTATAAGATGACTAAATGGGTACAAGACTAAGAAAATAAACTAAATTTGACTCCTTCCCACACAGCTGTTTCCCATGCTGTCCTGCTGGGTTTTAATGAAGACCTCACCCCACCTTCATCCGCCCCTTATCTCAGCTCCCCCCTGAGTACATCACTGCTTCCATATTGTCCCCCATACCACGTGGCTCGGGACACGCCAGTGCACATCCTGGACCAACAGCCACTTATTTCCAACACTGTTTGAAGTCTGCAGCCATTCTGGTTGCTAAATATCTTTGACACTATTTTGACTTAAACTGATCTCATGCCTCCTCCTCCTCAGTGGCTGTGCTGTGTCCTTTGTGGGACTGTAAGTCCCTTAATCAGGACAGAGGAGGAACACCGGTTGGGGTGAGTGGGGGATATCCCACAGGGACCCCCCAAGGGAACTCATGTATTCACCCAGACAGGCCTGAGGGTCTGTGAGAATCTGAGTGTGATTGATCACCTCTTCTCCCTGCTGCCCTCCTCTGTCACCTGGGTGTGAGATACCAGGAGGCCTGACAACAGGACGGGCTGCAGCTGGGACACGAAACTGGACACGATCTGAGGAGGGATGCATCATATTCTGATGTGATGTAAACACTCCTGACCAGCACGGCGGACATGACAGCGCAGGCCGGAGCCTCCTCCGCCCTTACAGCCTACTGGTGAAAGCGTGAGCGGGTGTATAGAGGAAACGGGCAGCCTCCATGTCCACAAACGGCCACAGTCAGAGAGCGTGCTTTAATTAGAGGTCAGTATGACCACTGAAACGTTTTGTCTTCTGCACAACAGGTGAGAATATGACTCACTACAGAAGTGCGCCTCTAAACTGATATTCATTTTAATTTCAGATGCAAAGTCCAGAGGGAGGTGCTAAGCTCTGTAAACTATGCACTTTAAAGAAACATGAGTCATGAGCCACTCATTAGTCAGGAGTGTAACTAATGTCCTCTTTGAGGACAAGGCGCTGGGATGGAATCCACAGAGTTTATCTGACTACATGACAAAGGCTGAGTCGGGTGGGTAATGTTTCTAATAAACGCATAGAAAACTTATCTTAAAGTTATAGAAGATGTATGAAAATACAGTTTGTGAACACTTACAAGAAATTATTCTGGCCCTTTCATTTAGAATTCTAAAGCACACAACTTCAAATTCTGAAATGCATATGAATGTCTAAACCTAGACCAAACACACGATAAAAGCTACCCCCTACTGTACATGAATTGTAAATATGTTGTCATATTGTTATGTTTTTCTTTTTACTCTGGCTGCAGATCTTTCCAGGCACCTAAATCAACACTGCAACGACACAACAGGACATTCTTCTAAGAAACACTGATTCTGGAGGCTAATCAACGTTTTCTCTGTTTAAATAATTAACAAAATCCTCGTATTTAATTTCATATAATACCTATGCAATTAAATATTTAATATTTAATTTAATATTTAATTTTTAAAATGTGCAACTTTTTGGCTTTTAGAACACTGTGGGAACAGATTAAAACTTACACTGCCTAACACTAGGTGTTTTCACTTCTTCAAATCCTCTCAGCTGAAGTCATCCATCTCTGACAGAATGCACTTAAAGGGCAATATAACTGGAGAAACGTTTCTGGTATGCCAGCTAAACTCCTGCATTTCATTCTTTAACACCGTTGGCAACTAGTTTTCTTATTTGCATGTTCCACTCTTCCAGCAGAAGACACCTCCTGAGCCTGAAGTGTTCCCTCACCCTCATTAGTAGTGTCCCTGAACTACAAAGGGCTGAGAGCAACCACAGTGGACAGACTTATGAGGGGAACTAGGAGCTGCAGACCTCTGCATACAGGACTGAGCCCCCTAAACTGCTCAGATAGGCCCGACGCCAGCGCTGCTAGAGAGGTAAAGCAGGGAGACTGTGACAGCAGGAGCGGCTGTGCAGGCAGAACTGCAGACACACATGAAAAACGGTTTCATTTCCACAGCCTGCAGAAAGACGTCCAAAACCACACATGACCTCAGCCAATAAGAAATGCTCATATCTCTCTGAAATCATTCAAAGCACCCTGTGAGTGTGCATTTCATCCCAGCAGAATCGCTCACCATTACAAACACAGGTTCTGAGTTACAATTACACCCAAACAGCAAATGCACTGAAGAATATTTTCCAACTTTCTGCTCGCCATTCTGATTGAATAACTAACTGGATGCCGGTGCCTGCACCACTGGTGCCACATCTGGGGTCTGGTGTAAAATGGGGTATGTGCTGCCTGGACATGTCTGACTGCTGTGAAAATGTTGTTTGCTTCTGTCCAAACTCATCACCAATGTCCACAAGAGGGCGGTGTTGCTCCAGGTCTACTGCCTCAACCCCAAGCCCATGTGCACACAGGCGTGCCGAAAAGGTAGCTCAACCTCAAAAATGTGTGAGCCTAGCCTCCTCTACTCTGGCTGTTGCAGTTAATTAGGGTGTGTTCTATTTCTTCTCTGCCAGGGAACTCATTCCAGCCCGTCTGGAACAAACTGAACCTTTTGGGGAAAACAAATCGATACCAGGACAAAAACAGGTTAAGCAATGGTCTCAGTTCATGCTTATTAAAAGAAGAATGTGGGAGTCGTGGTGGGAGCCTGAAGGTTCCACACAGGGAGCACCTTCAGAGACAGAACAGCAGATGGCAGTATTGTTACACACTGAACTAAAGAAAAGAAAACTAAAGAGGCTGCCTTTTAACATGACAAAGTTATATTTTTAAAATGCTATTCTCATCTAAGATACATCTTCTACAACAGAATGGGAGCTTTATTTGTTCATTTTTTTGCTATATTTTGTTTAGTTTCTGTTTGATGCTCTTTCTACTATCACAATGGATGCACGGTTTGGATCCCTGCTGGTATGGCTGAAAAGTAAGCGGGGATCAGGCTGAAGCCGTTATCACATCTTGCGCCATAACTCAGGAAATATTTCATGCCGACTTGTGCGGTGCTGCGTCATTAGGTCCTCGTCATCTCCAGCGTGTGTTGCTATGCTTTAGAGTTTCCCTGGGGTGAAGCAGATGATTCTCCCTCACACAGAGACCCTGCTGCTGCTCATTGATGCCACAGATTTAAGCTCCCAAGATCAGCCCCAGTTTATTCTGCAGCACCCTGCGGGATTCACCTGCAGCTCTAAGTGGGTGTTTTCACACCTGTGTGTGTATACTGCGTGCTCATTTGGCAATACATTTAGATTGTTTTAAATACACCCGAACAAATGTTTTCACTATTTCAGAAGGGCATTGTTATCAAATCATTCTTTTTTTTTGCTACCTTTACTACATTTAGTGAACACAATGAAGGAAAAAGAAAGATTTTTACATGACTGAGTGCATGTTTAATATTTTTAACTATCCACTGCAGACACGCAGCATTGCATCTGTTCCTCAAACCTCGGTTTCAGGTCCGGGTGGAGGGTGGGGGGGCTGCTGCTTCACTGCGTCTGAGCTCTTCTTAAGAAGCACCAGCTTGTCAGGGTGGCCAACACAAACAATCAGATCGCATTGCATCAGATGGGTTTGCACTGTCAGTAGAAAGAAAATATCTTGTGTACAACTTGTAGATTCATCTAAGACTCAACACCCAGGGAGAAAGAATATATATATATGTACACATATGTACATACACATATTTACATATATAGTACTCCTACTGTAAATAGAAGATCTTATGTAAATGAACTCCAGTCATTTGAACCTGGTGTTGATACGCACATTCAGTTAATGTTAAACCATCCCAACATTTTTTTTTTATTTGTTCTCACCACAGAGAGGGAGAGGCTGTGAGTTTATACATTTTACATACCACGCAAAATTATTGCTGAGTAGTGAGGGAACAAAAACTGAAGTGTTTCACACCACATGAAAAGCCATGCTGTGTATTAGGTTTACAGTTATGTACCTTGATACTTGATTGTTTGTTTCCAGGCTAGGAACCGTTCAACTGAGCAGACAGTTAGAACTGAGATAACTGTCCCCCATGGCAGAAAAACTGCTACATAATGCCTCACATCAGATTGCCTGACAGACAACTGTGTGTGTGTGCGTCTGTGTGAAATTCTTCAGTTGCTCCTATCCATTTATCAGTAAAGCAAAATCTGACAAACCTCATGTAGCTTCATGTAGGTCTAGACCGCTTATACCTACAAGCAAGGGTAAGCCGGTGTATCCACTAATCCACTTTAAGCTATCACATTTCAGATCTATGACAGCAGTTCCACTGTGTGTTTTGCATATCTCATAATGGATGCATCTCGATATTGTGAGGTGTTATGGGAGTGAATGAAATTCACACTCGTACATACATGCTAGTTGATCCATGCAGTTGGACAAAGAGTCCAGCCCTCTTAGGATGTTTTCCAGATCAACACAGTTGGAAGAGATGCTTTGTTCGGCTTCTTTCTCTACGTTTTCCATCTGTAAAGTGACAAAAAATAGTTTGTACTAACACTGAAATACACACAAACCTGACAGAACTTGAATTAATTTCAGAAAAACCTAAAATCATATGATTTCCTCCTTGTTTAGAATAATGATATATGCCTAATAAAAATAACAGAACACTTTAATTTGTTTAAAACTTGTAGTTCTTTATTGAATCAAACAGAACAGAAAACATTTTTCATTAGGAAAAAACAAAAACCATGCAAGGGTACAAAAATCACCAATTCTCGATTAAATGTGATAAACAGATCAGCAGTGAGTAGTCCAACAAATAACAAACATGGATTACAAACAATGCGAAGTGTCGCAACGGTGCTTTTCAAAGAAAACTCTGACAACATAAATTACATTTAAGCATGTTGTTGGGCCTCAGTGTCAGGAAGTGGGTCCGTCTTTAGCTCTTGGATTGGGTCTCCACACACAGCACCTCTGCATTTCTGATAGGCTTCTTCCAGCTTCCGCATGGAGGCTCCCAGCTCGGGATTGGTTCGCAGAGCCACCATGTCGTAAACCATATATGCCAACTGCACTGTAGGTGACCAAACAAACAGCGTTCAGACGGTGTCCACACAAAGTCCAAGTAAAGACTGTATCTCCGCAGAACATCACGTTAAATCCGACACCGTGTCTTCATCAACCACAACATCAAAACATACCTGAAATATTCTCAACGTCTTCAATCATTATCTCCAAATCCTTGTTCAGTTCCAATATGTCGCCGCCGCTCTGCGGCTGCTCTGGGAGGGAGGATGACTCAGCCATCTAAACTTTAGACGGGAATACTGCTGTAATGACTAGCTAAACGAATTCTTTAAAAAAAAATCGCAAAGAAGGGAACTTGGTGGAATTAAGTCGTTTTGCGTCATTACAACAAGGGAAAACGTTAATCTAAACAGCTTCCGTTGTATTAGCAAGATATCTGGAAATGCTAACACGGAGGCGCCACGCCTTTCGAGTTTTTCTCCTGTTATTTGTCATGGCGTGACAAAACAACACATCCGTTTTGTTAATATATACAATAAAACTTTACAAACACTGAAAACACGAAAAGCTGATACCTCACCTTCAGAGAATGTTTTACGGTGATGCAGGTGAACGTAATGAAAGCTGATTGGTGTCTCGGTCTAAGCATAAATTATTTGTATGATTATTTTAGTATCATAAAATACTGTAAAAGTTTAATAGAAATAATATAGCAATATCAAAAAGAGAGAATGCAAGTTAAGACCGACAAGTGTTTCTTTAAATATATTGTAGACATATACGATTGTACAGAAACTTACGTCACTCTGTGTTGCATGCTGGGATGTCAGCGCCATTTTGTAAAAACTATCCCTTATCAATAAGTAAAGGCCAATATCGGAATATTGTTTGATTTGTGTCACTTGACTTTAGCAACGAACTCGAACTGCCCTTATTTTGTAACATGTTAAATAGATTTGCTCTGTGATTTGCAAGTGTTTTTTGATAAAACTCAGCAGAAAAACGTGCTAAAAACGTGGTCAGAAGGGTTTGATAGAACTGAATAAAGTTTCAAAGATTGTTTCTTCAGTTTGAACTGAAAGACGAGATCTTTAAATGTATATAAATTGCACGTGAAGGAAAATAAATTTAAATTGCATTTAAATAAAAAAAATACTGCTTTGTTTCTTCTGACTGTTTTATTCTTTGGAAGAATAATGGAAAAGAAAACTTGATAAAAAGGAGCAGATACATATTGTGCCCATTTTTTATAATTTTGCTGATTTAATTAGTAGTATTTTTTATCACTCAAGTATTTGCACTATTATCAGTTTAAAAAACTCATCCTAAAGCGTAAGCAACAACTAAATGATTAAATTGAATCTGCGTGGTTAGCATGTACACAGAAACTTTAAGTAATAACAAATGGATATGACATTTATTATGTTCCCAGAATTATATAAATTATGTTTATAATTAAACACAGTTAAAACATAAAAGTAAATATTTTGTTTATCAAGTATCTATCCCTCTTTCAGTCTCTCTCTCTCATTACGGTAAATATTTGTTTTATATAAGAGGAGAGAAAAATATTTAATCTTCTAGCAAGTGAACGTAAAAATAGTTTTTAACTCTTAACTCCACCTCAATAAACAAATTAATCAATAAAACTCCATCAATTAATTCAGTTTATGACTAACTGCTTGAGTGGGAAATTGCTTAAATGACAGTGGACAAAACCCCTGGGGGGACTGAACTAGCTGACAACAGGAGAAAAAAAGGAGAGAAACAGATAAACCTCTCACCTGAGAGGACAACCAATCAAAATCTCCAAGGGGTGTTTCCAAGCAGAAAGATAAAGCAGGTGTGACGGGTGACATCAAGGGCAAACAGACAAGAAAGGAGAGGTGAAGAATAGCCCACGACTTTGAAGCTCAGAGAACCTTTTTTTTGTTATTGAGCTCACATTGATAAACCGACAAAAGGACTGAAGAAAAAAGTTTTGGGGACAAACTTCAAGATATTTGCAAAGAGAGGAAGGACAGCTAGAGCTGAACATTTAAGAAGAAGCTGAGAGGGGAGAAAACCGAACAATGTCTTCCTTTGAGACCCAGAGCCAGTCTCCTCCTCGATGTGGTCCACAGTTCCCCAACCTCGGTCAGGAGCCCCCTGAACTCAGCATGTATGGTGACTGCTACTACCCTCCTCCCTCACTGCCGAGTCCGCAGCGAACCACCCCATCCTCCTATGACCTCAGCGACTATGCCTCGTCTTCCCCGAACCCATATCTGTGGTTCAACAGCTCCGGGATCAACACACCATCCTACCTGTCTACAACCGTGCCGCCTGGTAATCCAGGCCCTCCCTTTGTTCCTCAACACTATGGCATGCAGAGGCCTTACCTAGGTCCACCTGGGGCTGGAGGACCAGGAGGGGAACTAAATTGGTTTTCTCTCCCCTCACAAGAAGATCTGATGAAGCTGGTCAGGCCCCCTTACTCCTATTCTGCTCTCATCGCCATGGCTATCCACGGGGCACCAGACAAGAGACTGACGCTGAGTCAGATTTACCAGTATGTGGCTGACAACTTCCCTTTCTATAACAAGAGCAAAGCAGGCTGGCAGAATTCCATAAGACACAACCTCTCCCTTAACGACTGCTTCAAAAAAGTACCAAGAGATGAGGACGATCCAGGTAATACAATTAATTCTTTTTCTGTGTATTTCTGCGTTTATGTGTATTGCCGTAAGCACGTGCTTACGTGAATTTGATTTTTAATTATTCAAACCTAAACTCAATGTCATCCTGTAGGTAAAGGTAACTACTGGACTCTTGACCCAAACTGTGAAAAGATGTTTGACAATGGGAACTTCCGCCGCAAAAGGAAGAGAAAGTCTGACTCCCTATCCGCTGGTGATGGCAGTTCAGGGGCTCCAGAGTCGGGGGACAGTGAGAGGGGCAGCCCCAAGCACCCTGCCCTTAACATGTCCCCGGCACCTGACAGGGTTCCCTCCCCTTCCATCACAGGCTCCACACCGTGTCTGAACAGCTTCTTCGCTGAGATGTCTACAGTTACTCCTGGATCGACAAATGAGGTGGGGGTCGATGGGTTGAGCAGGCCGTCGCAGATTAACCTCGCTCTGGATGGGCCTCATAGAACCCCACAGCCAGGAAGCTTTAGCAGCTACTCTCCCGGCTCAGCTGGCCCAGAGTGGGTACCACAAGTACAAGCCCCACCTGTGCACACCTCCTCACCCACTCATTCTTCTCTGGGCTACTCAAACCCGATCCTGAGCCAGTACAGTGGGTCAGCTGGGCATTTCTATCCCACGCTGAGCTCCACAGGAATCATCTATCATCGTGAAGGAACAGAGGTTTGAGAAGACATCCGAGGGCGGAGGAGTTGTTTGATAAGACTGCTGAAAGAACGCTTCACCTGTCTGACCGTAGCTTTGTTTAAGACATGTTTTCCCGTGAAAAGCAATACACACAGAAAAAAAGGGAATGTTTGCGCTGACAGAGACAGTTGAGATCACTAGCGTGTGACAGTGTGGTATGGCTTTGATTCCCACAGGAACAGCAGAGTCAGCTGAAGCCGTCGCCGACCATCCCTCCCTGAAACCGCAGTTAGGTTCCCTATCAGATCCTCCGTCAGCTTTTACTCTAAGTTAAGCTAGTCTCTATCAGATCTGACTCATTATTAACAGATCCTCAAACAGAAAAGCTGACATCAGGCGATTCCACACCGCTATCTGTGATTATTTGATGGTATCACAAAGACAACGCACAAACAGCAGATTTAGAAGAGTGCTTTAAATACACTGTCAGCACCGTGTATGGTAAACTGCGATGCCCGATTGAATATGTGAGCCATAATGCTTTCAGCATTGGCACCCGTCAAAAGTAAAAGATAGGCTTTCTTTCAGGGTCTTGTACAGAATTCAAACAATCTAACTTAACTTACAGACTGTGTATATAGTGTGGGATATACAGGTTGCTTTGAACATAGGGGTATGTTATATGAAATGTTATACATGATTGTTGGTTTTAGTTACAACTATTATTATACGACATGGATTTGTAATGTATAATACTGCTTATGTTTATGTGATATGGAATGTTATACATGATTGTTGGTTTTTAACAACTTTTATTATCATTATTATTATTATTATTAAATAAAAAAGGATTTGTAATGCATGCTACTTGCCGGATGTTGTGTTTCTGTTTTTGTATGTGAATAAAATGTTTTAGAGGAACAGTTTGAGATCTCGCATTTTGTATGAAGATTAATGTGTAAGGGTTTCTGGGACCACCCCACACCCCCACGCACAAAAAGGTGAGAGGAAGAGAAAGTCAGAAAATAAACATTGGCTGACAGATAACAGACATGTCAGGATGAAGCGATGACCAGTAGTGTGGAACCAGCATGTCAGTGTAATCCGATTTTTGTGTGATGGATAGTTAACTGATTCTCCTAAACAGTGAAAATCTGCATTCCCTTCCCATGCTGACCCCCTTTCTGTGAAACACTAAAAACCCTTGATGACACACTGCACATAGATAGTGCTGACTGAATACAGGGAGGTCCAACTGTGAAAAAAGCAATTAAGATGGTGTTGCCTGCACAACCAAATGGATCCTACTCAGTACATTTAACAAGCTGGTCCCATGTAATTCTTCAGCAAGTTGCTCTGCAATACAGTTCAAAATGATGTAACGTATAGACAACTGCAGGCACTAAACAGCGTTAACAGTATAAAAATGAAAAACAAGTTTATTAAGAAATTCACTGTAAGCTTCCTTTGACCACCAGCCACATGAAATTAGTTAAGAGGAGATGAGGTGCATCTAAAGAGCTGTACATAAATATAGCTGAAAACAGCTGTAATTTAAGTTTTTACTCATTTTAAAAGCGAATGTGTTGGAAATATTTGGTTGCAGGGTTTGATATGTGTCTTGATGTGGCAAATCAATACAGCAATTAAACATCTTGCTTGTACAGATGTTTAACATTAATCTGTAAACTAAATGTGCTGCCAAATTTAGGCTTTTCATAATCAGCCATTGAGGGCTAATCCAGTTGAAATTGGTGACTACTTAAACTAAAGAAATGAGCTGAGAGTGATGAAAAGAAATTCTTGAATGAGGGGGTGACATCAGTATACACTCTTTTTACAGATGTCACCCTTAGGCCTTTATTTACCCTGAAACAAGGGCAGCATGACAGCCATTTACACTAAACACAAAAGGACAAAGGGAGGAAAAATTTGAAGACAAGACAAGAAAGTGGATGAAGTGGAATTTAACATCTTGGCACTAATAGCAAGGCGTCTTAGAGGTAGGAGGTCAACCTGTCAAAATTTGCATAACTGATTTCGTAACAAGGGACGAGGTTGTGTCTGGATGGATCATAAAGTCCTGCCTTATTAGTTGCGTCGACCTGCAAGCATATCTGATTGCAAAAAGTGCTGAGTCACAGAGCAACAATAAATTAAAGTGAAGCTAAATAAACTTTGAAGGGAGCATTTAAAAAAAGTCAAAGACGAGAATATGTGTGAGAAATTAGAATATTCTAACTTTGCTTGATGTGATTATTTTAAATTTCACACCAGGTTTAAGACATTTTTAAAAAATATGGTTAATTATTGGGCCAATTGGTCAAAGGATAATTGTGCACGAGTACTGAGCCATAAAGATTTCACTGTGATAAGAAAGACACTAGACTGAGATCTGAAGCGTATAGAGTTTATTATCCCTAAAAAAAACAGAGTGAAATTTTTGTAAGGTAGGAAAAACAAAAAGAATAAAACATATGTCACTGGACCACTGTCCTAACATGTCGTGACCCCACTGGCACTTTAGAAAAAGCCAGTGCAGTCAATTACCCATTTCTCCCTCATATCAAGTTCAGACTTGGTGCTGACAGGTAAAAGATGGCGTTTGAAGATCAGGGGAGGTTTTTCACTTAATCGATGAAGCACAAACTGTTCTCTGCCAACAGAAACATTTTGGGGCTTTTGTCTCAGACACTTTATTAACAGACTCCTATTTTTTTTTCTCAGCATTCAGACAGTTTCACACTGATGCAAATCTTCGACAGTTAATCACACCTTGGATGGGGATGAAAAGTTCAGTTGGAGACTTTGGTGTTTCAGATCCAGGTTTGCAGATAATAAAATAAAAAAAAAGATTTACTTCCTGAAACCCAACTCAATTTTCTTTTTTTCCACACAAGATATGTCAGTATCTCGGAACTCCCCGTGTCATTCTGTTTATATATTACAATTTTTTTTTATGTGCTGAACATTTTCTTTTTTGTGAACAAGTAAGGTCATGTACAGGCTGTCCAACCCCATAAAATCCAGTCATGTTTCTTTCCTTCTGGCGTATCTTCCAGGGCAAAACAACCCCCCAACTGTTTCACCTTCACAGCCGAATTTTGCAGCGCTTATTGTGCAAAACTGAGACTGTTGGGCGGTTGCAGCGTAAGGCAACCCATACGTGTTGCAAGACAAGCTTGCTCCTCTGCATAACCAAATATGTGGGGCAGGTATAGTGCGAGGTAATCCATATGTTGTTGGACATGCTTTCTCCTCTAAGACAGAGGGATCCCCAACACATCATCCATCAATCATGTGTTACTTTAGCTGTGGACACTGCTTGCCTCTGGCAGTAGAATTATTTCTTAACAGAGTGACATGATTAAAATCTATAAATCCTCATCTCCACCTGCTGCCTGGCTCGTGGCAGTCTTCCACACACCTGTCGAAATAACGGAACACACCCGCACACACACACACACACACACACAACTATTGCGTGTGTGTGTATGCATTGCAGTCCATGCAAGTGTGTGATGTTTATATTATAAACTCAGAGAACGATTAGTCCTGTGTTGGTGTGCTTGAAAGATTTGTGAGTGTAAGAACTGTCCTGATTATAGATTAGCAAAGCAAGTCAAATCACACCTCAGAGTGCATCTGATTATATTCGCTAGATCGTATGTTCAAGTTTATGTCCTCAAGAATGCGGGGATCCATCAGGTCACTGAGGGTGACTTCTACCTGAGGAAAAGACAACTTTCCTGGTACCGCTTCAACCCAAAACACACTCAAGGACACACACTCGCACACCACCCTCTGTATTTACTAAAACAATGGTGCCCTATCAGGCCTGTTTAGTAAACGTTAGTAAGGAACGTCAGGCCTGGAGACGTGTCGTCATGCCCACTGCCACAGCAATGGATAACCAGCTCAGTGTTATCAGTAAACATCCACACACACTTCAGACACACGAGCACAGGCACAGACAGAAATGGGTTTCCACCGGTTTGTAAGTCACTCAACAGCCTTTTAGGTTCCTTTGCTTCTTTAGAGGTCAGAGAGAAGCGCCAGACTGTGCAATCTCCTCCACACCAGAGCAGGAGTTCCTTCCAGATGATTGGAGTCCATGAAACACTCCATGACTTTTATTTAACTGTTGGAAAAAAAAACGATTAGGTGCACAGGCCATGTCTAAGTAATCAAACGCTTTTGCCACCACTGACATCCAAAAGCCGCAGACACCTGGAAAAAGTCCGAGTTTGTTAGAGGTCCACATGTTCTCCATCAAAAGGTTCAAAACAGCTTTGGCTCCTCAGCTGTAGAAATCCCAGTGTGTTAGAGTCTAGAGAATAAGGCAGTGTGTGATCTCCTCTTTCTAAACATGGTTTATATAGACGTTTTTTTAGGGAAAACTCAAGTTTGAAGACAAACAGAGAAAGCAGTGAGACAGTGTGTATATATGAATCATTCCTATTTTACCCTAAAATATTTCCATGTCAACATGCAGTAAACATGGCGAAATGAACGGGGCTTTTCAGGGAGGAAAGGAGGGGAAGGAAAAAAGGTTTAGGATGGAATGTAATCAATATGTACTCAATGTATCCAATATGAAAATATGAATAATACAAATAAACAAATACATTTTTTAAAGCTAATAGCTATGGTAGAAATAAGTATGATCGTTCTTGTCATAATTTCTTTAACAAAGGGATTATTGACAGAAATGCAGAATCAAACCAAGTGGCAAGATCTGAGAATGAATTCCAGGCACAAACAGTTGTCTTTGGTCTCTGGAGTCACTGTGAAAATCTTTATTCTAGTGATCTTTTAAAAGAAGATTAATTTTTTTTTTTTTTTTTGTGTTCCCTCTTGGGAACATGCGGTACAGAAAATGGATGGATGGATGGATGGATGGATGGATGGATGGATGGATGGATGGATGGATGGATGGATGGATGGATGGATGGATGGATGGATTGTCAAAAATTTTCCAACACCGATTGTGTGTTGTTGGAAATTCTTGGAATTCTTGGCAAGCAGTATCTTTGGTTAGA